CCATGCTATGGAATTAGTGATAATCACAGCACCATTTTAGAGGAAGAAAACTTCAGAGGACATGAATCAATTTAAATGCAGGATGTTAGTCAAATGTGTTGATGATAATAACAATGAACGAAAAATCCTCGTTTTCGCTCTGTATTGCAACAAGATCATCTGGATGGGGGTTACCAGCTATGAAGCGAAGCACTACACAGTAACATGAAATGAGAATATCGCGGTATGGTTTAGTTCGATTCACAAGGTACAAACAAATGAGAAACAACTTAAACATTCATTCTTTTACTGCCACATTTTGATTCTGTACTTAGAGTAAATGTATTTATTATACAGACAGAAATTTTCCGAATTCTATTCACAAAGGTTTCTTCACCACTGTGTGCATATACTGTTTCTCTGTTGTCATCAGATCACAGTGCTAGAATGTGTCACTTGCTCTACTCTAACGGCTTTGTTTGTTCTCCCGTTTTATCGACTAAGATATACCGAATTGTCTAGTTTCAACGCTACGCTACTCCTTTTTTGTTTACTGAGTAATTTTTTAGAAAGAAGTCGAGGTTAACCTTGAAAATTTACTAGAAATTAACAAAATCAGATCGAAATGGCCAATTGACACGCAGTCAACAGACTGTGTAGTTATGAAAATCATAGAATTGTCATCTTGATTTATTCTACGAAGTTTATCTTCTTGATAGAGGTCAGTCAGTCAGTCAATAAAACTGTTTATGATTATGCACGTAAAATAGTCTAGATTATGAAAACTTGAGTTCATTATGTACAAGTGTCAGCAATGTCACATGCTCACAGATTTATTCTGACTAGTTGCCTTGATTTCACTTTATTACAAAACTACAGCACTGGATTGATGTGTACTTGTTTTAAAGAACAGATTTATGAGGGAGATATGATGAAGAAAATACTGATGATTTGTCGGATTACAGCTTTTATGTCACCAATGAATAATATTGAAGTTACTCATTGAAGTGAGGTGTGCGTCGGTGGTATGGCGGTTAGGACGCTCGCCGGGCATGCACATGGTCCGGGGTTCGATCCCGGCCACAGACGCACTCCTTTACCTCGCTGAACCAGAAATAATTCTGGTAAAGAGGGAAGGTTGGGCCAGCATGAGGCTAGCAACCCCATCCTGTAAAAGAAACACTGCTACAAAAACTTCAAGCCACTAGCTTGAAGTCCTATGTTCCACTGGGGAACGTGAAGGAAGAAAAAAAAAGTTAAAGTGAGGGAAAAGAGGACTGGAAAAACCGAGTATATCTACTGAGCAGGACATACATTCAGCTGTAGGTGGTCAGATTACTGTGGAGAAATGACCTTATTTCATTTTCAACATTTATTCTCAAATTGTCAGGTGTAAGTTTGTAGGGATTTCATTTGTGAAAAGTCCGATCACGGTTTGATGTCAGTTAGGGAAGCAGAGAAAAAACCAGGGATTACTGGAAAGCTGGTCAATACTGGTTTGGGAACCCACGGAAATCGAACACAGGACCTTCTGGTCACACGGTCAAGCTTGTTGACCATTTTACTATTCCAGCCGAATCCAATGGCTTGTAAGTATGGGTTGTACTCGAGATTGACCTCAACTAACCGCAGTAACTGAAGACTTCTCCTCTGAATACCCTTAGGAATACTCGTTGTAGCGTGTAAGTGCTGCTTAACGATCGAGCTCAAAGTAAGTAGGCTTGAGACTGGGTAGTGTGTTCTGATGAGAGCCGTGTTTAAGACAGATGAAATATCAACTTAAATAAATAATGAGATTGTTGTACAATTTATCTAGCGCCTCGGCTGGGTAGTAAACTCGAAGAGTGCGCTGAATGGTTTATAATCGTATCTAATGAGGGTGTCAAAGCCAGCCAGCCAGCCAGCCAGGATCTGAAGTCAGTTTGGGAATCTGGTGCTGTCAGCATAAATTCAGATTTCCAACGCTAATCTGAAGTTATTTCTTCTATATGTTTGTAGAGACTTCACGTGACTGAAAACGTATTGGCAACAAGCTACTTCATACTTTGACCAACAGCTGACTATCTACTCTGGCTCTATGTCAGAGATCAAATCGCCTACCGTAGCGGGTCAGCCAATCGAAAGGAAATCGCAAGTGACTAATCTGATTCATCAAACTACCAGTCTGCCAAAGCAGTTAACAAGAAATCGGTTGGTTTGAACTAATTCAGAACCCTCAGCTGAGTCGAACAGGGTACACCACTGATGAACTTAGTGTCAAACGAGTAAAACGGTCGGTCTTCGTTGTTTGGATCAACTAGATCTGGTGAGGAAGTACTACTGGTTGATGTAGGTAGTAGTATATGTAGCGTCACAATTATATCAGATTTTCTTTGAAAATCATGTTTGCCCCTAATACAGAACTCTCAGTCAGAGTAATCTCTTCCGGAATATTTACACTCTGTGTAGAATACTATTCATCGATAGCATACAGGACGACTCGATGTCATTTGATCTGAAACAACATCCGATTCTCTACGAATCGTTTCCTTCATTTTCTTTTCAAAGTACGCACAGCAATAGGTTGAAAGTCAACTAAACATTTTCACGAGTTCATGTTGTAATCCGGATACATAATTTGAAGATTAAAAGTACACGAAGAGGAGGAGAGAAGTGAATGCAGTTTCACTAAATGGAAATTTTGGTAGCCCATTGGTTTAAGCAGGCAGATCTAGAATTCAGCATACTTGTAGTTATCACTTGATTGGACATAGGGACAGAGGAGAATTCACTCCGACATGAATGAATATCCGTAGTCCCACTGTGGGATGATGCTTAATCACAAAGGGTATAGAAAACAAAAAGGAAAACAACATAAAATTAGAAAGATGTTTGAGTAATATGTAAGATGACCTGTTCCACCGACAAAATGGTCGATAAAGATATGTTAAAGTGGAAGAAATCTAAAAGAAATTACAAGAAACTAAGTCCATGGTAGATGGATGGAATGAGATGACTAGACAAGCTTCTTTTGTAAACACAGAACTCTGGCTTCCTGTGTTAAAATAGGCTTGACAGCATACAAGAAAATAAGGACAACAAATCATAACAGTAAGACACATAGATCATCTCAAAGACTGAAGGGCTCTAAACATTTCATATGAAAATATACATTTCTAGCCATGAAAACCACACCTGAAACTTTGTTTTCATTTGTAATTATGCATAATGGAGGAAGGAGGTTTGTGCTCTGTGTGTGTGTGTGGACACAACTACATCGAAGTGTAATTATGTCTCTTAACTTACTGATACGTGAATTAACAGACAAACAAACAAACTGAATCAATTGTAATTAAAAAAGGGTTGAAAGTTGTTCACGAATCATGACTGTAATATATGGATTATAAATATTTTAATCTATATTGTGACACATGATTGATTAAATTGTGCTTACAATATGACACGTGCAATGTGTTACAATGTGCTCCAATTTATTCATGCACTAATGACCTAAGTGATATTACAAGACGAAAATATCTTTGAATGCATTTCGCTTATTTGAACTATTCATCATCGAACATGAGATGAACTATCACGCAATAGTGCTACTTCCTTATTTGAGAAGACTATAAAAGCCTGACTGTTTGAATTGTTTTCACTGTCAGCTAATAATCATTTGAGTAGCTTTTCTGAAGGATTGATATTTTCAGATTTTCAAAGAATGTCTTTGAAAGTGTTGTTAACGACAGTCTACGCGGTTTTCGTCTTTCTGTGTAACAATCAAGTACATCGACTGGTATTCACAGCCTTCGTTATTATGGCTATAATGCACCAATGGGTTAGTTAGTAAAGTGTTATTCATCTTTGCATATATGATGATATAGTTTAGCATTCATTAATGTATGTAATGTTATGTAATTGGAAAAAATCGATTATTTTAGTAATTCTGTGTTTAATTTGTTATTTAATGACGCTGAACTCTTTCCTGCTTACTAACACCACAGTTGCGTGTCTTTCTTATTTATTCCATTTGACGATGAACTGTCAAACAGGATTAATAAACTGTCTCCCCCGTTTTCATTCAAGAGATTCCTAGTGAGGTTAGATTTTATTACAAGTCACCATCCATTAAACCACGCTTTACTTATGAAAGGAGATGGTCATGTCAAATTCGTTTATGAATTAATACAAGAACCTATTATAGTTGTCCCACGGTAACTTTTATCGGGTTATCTATCTATGCTCGCTTAGTAAAGCCTAGTCAATCCATACATTTCTTTTAAAGACAATCTTACAGGTCGTGGTTTAGATTTTCATGTCAAGCATTCATATTCATGACCAGCAGATATTTACTATCCGTATTCATCAGTTCTTGGTTATAATTTACCTTCTAAGGTAGGGATGAAAGTGTTTTCGAAAATAAACAAGTAGATGAAAGAGGTTAGATGAATGAAGGCAATCGGCAAGCCTTTGACCTAGGTTTCGCGCTAGTTGACACTCAACAGTCAGCAAGGCGTATCTGCAGTCACCATGAAGGAGCTCATGTCGCTTCTGTGGTTCAAAAGTGCGTCAGCCAATACCGTTTGCAGTTAGCGGATGTTACCACAGCGCTATTCAGGATTGCGATTGACCTCCATACTGTAGGACTGCACGAAACAGGGAACTAGACTTATCACAATAGTTACTAGTGCCCAATCGAAGATGAAAGAAGTATTTTATCGATTTACCTTAAGGACATGCTTCTCTCTTCAATTCGACATCCAGTAAGACTCAGCATATCCGCACGCCTACAATGTTTCTACCCTATTCAACCCAAATCCTTCGAATGTGTTATTTGGAATTTAAGGCTAATTTACTCCTTATTTTCATAGATAATTCCCCCTCCCCCACATATTAGACTACTCCGTGTATTCAGACTGATTTGAGATTTTCTCTCGGAAAATTACCACACGTGGGGATCACTTAGAAGGATACCAATACTGTGACTGATTTCTAACACAATCGAAATATTTACTCAAATTGAACTGTTGTCATATTTTTCAGAGGTTGAACGCAGATATGATGCAGATTTATTTTTGAAGGGAACAGAAACCTCACCGAATAATATCACTGGGGTGACGACAAACGAAGCAGTTAACAAATCATCCAAGAATATACGGTTACCACAAACTGTATCCCCGCATTTCTATGATCTACAGCTTCAAGTTCACATTCATGGAAATGCAGATACTAAAGACTTCTATTTCAATGGATCTGTCACCATAGAGATTCAGTGTTTAGCAGCAACTGCAGAAATCTTTATTCATGCTTATCCTAATCTTAATGTCAGTATGGATCAAATCAAAGTGAGCGATTTGATATCAAGGGAAGTTTATTTTTGTTTTTTGTTACTTTTACAACTGTAAAATGATTCGTTGTTCCCTGTTGATTTCAGTCGTATCCCTTTTCATTGTTCATGCTTCTCAATTAGGCTATGACGGTAACATTCGTTATGTATGAAGTTGTCGTCCATGCTGGACTCAATAGTCGTCAGTTGACAATAACACGTCACTTATTAATTCTGGTCATCCAAGTATTCACAATAAATGCTTTTGGGAAGTCTCACACACTGCAGCCCGGTGACTTATTCCTGAAAGCTGCTTGTAACCATGCAATGAATTATGGATTACTTTTGTTTGATTAGATTGCCATGATGTCACTTAAATTATTGGAATTACACACATTCTGAGCTTAAACTCTAAACTCATATTACTACTCGTAAGTGAAGTCCATCTAACATTTTTCTGTGTATGCGAAGCTGTTAGTGCAGTAATAATTCATTGAAGGAATAATCTGCCTTACACAGTGTTTATATCGTAGATAGAATAAACTTATCTTTCTACGACAAAGGGAAGTGGAGTGGAGACAGAAAGGAACCTTATAGTTTCAGCTCTTTGCAGATTGAATTAAGGACTGGTAAATTTTCAGGAGTTGTTTTTAACAAATTTCCGTCTACTATATCCCCCTTGATTAAGTCATATTTGAGGGATTTGAAACTGAACTTATCTGAATGTTAACCTTTCGACAATGTCATGAAATAGTTCAGGAGTGAACCGTCTGAATCGAGTGTAAAGTTGCACTGATCAGAATCGCCAATATTTCTCAGTGTGCTAACAAGAACAAAGCTCCGATCAAAGGCTTCGTGTTTGATTAAAACTTCAAGTCAAACACTGGCCTTTCTCTATAGATTAACCTCGTTCAGTCTACTGTTCCCCAATTAATCGTTACTTTTGCAAACAATATTCAGAGATGAATACATAAAATTCTATGCTTTAAATTATTAATGAAATGTACTCAGTTGAAATTCCAATTTTAGTCTACTTCATTCATTCTCAGATCTTCATTCCTTTAATGATGAACAACAGACTTTGTTGAGTTTTTTATGGGTAAATTCAAATTATACTCAATGTTAAATGACAGATACCCACATCAAGTAATTAAAATGTGGGCGACGATGTGCAGTAGTCTTTTTTCTATGAATTACTCAGTGTGACTCACTTCCACGACTCCCCTCCATCTTGTCTCGTTTTGTATAGATATTTTCAGACGATAAGGAAGATTCAAAGAAGACGGAAATTCCAATACAGACGATATCCTACGATAAAGACGCTGAATGGTACCATATACAGTTAAAAGATGCACTACAGCCCAATGCAAGTTATAAACTGATATTTGGTCAATTTAATTCTTCACTAAACTACGAACCGCTAGGATTTTATCTGAGTCGGTATGCAGAAAATGGAACCTATAAGTAAGTACTTTTATTCCAGAGACTGAATAGTCATCAGAATCACTTTGATTTGAATCATGAATTCAGCTCATAGTAATGTTCCCCTTTGGATGAATTTCAAAGCAAACCTCATCATTCATAGAATAATGTGAAGTTATACGCCGCTAGAGCACTCGGATCCTATTCCTATATTAAGCGCGATTCATAGTGTACAGAGTGGGAGAGTGTCATTAGTGCACTGATAGATTTACATTCTCTCTCTCCTTTCCTAACTGGTTATACACTAATTTACTTATAAAGTAAACTGCAAGCTTAAGTCTTGACATTTTCACGTGAACATACCGACGTGTATGCTGAGGTATTTTGTAATTATCATGAATTGCTCACTTTATTGCTCCCCTCTTTCTTACGCAAAAGTAAATAGAATAATTACCATCGAATCATTCACATACACTTTCACTTAACTCGATATGCATCGTCTTTATTTCAGGTACTTAGCAAACACACAATTTGAGTCAACTTATGCAAGACGTGTATTTCCTTGTTGGGATGAACCTGGATTTAAGGCCGTGTTTCAGGTATGTGTACTATTGCAGTTCCTGTGCATTCTGAATATTCTGTTTAACTGAGAGGTGGTTGAAGTTCATTGAGAGTAAAGAGAAATGAAATGTTGCCTCATCTGTGGATATGTGAAGCATTTATGTTTTATATGTGTATAAGGATCTAGAATGGATGTGTGGTGAATGGATCATAATTTCACAACGGAAACCAATTGGATTCACAAAATACACTGGGGTTATTAAGCAAACCAAATACCGGTATATTGACCGACGAATCATCCCTTCTTTTATTTATTGCTGTATGAATGAGTTACTAAGTATGAAGCGAGAATATCTGTTGTCTTTTATGGCATTTTAGTAGAAACAGGTGTCAGAGAGTGAGCAGCGATCTATGGACAGGGACACACTCAAAGTTATCCATTCGATTCGTGGATAGAATAATGTGGTGTCAAAATGATTACAGTTGGAAGTTTCAAGTATTGGTTTGTGGGAATTTGACTGATTGGTTCTAGGTTTTCATTATGAGCTGATATCGGTTAGAGGACCATTGGAAAACTAGCTGAGCGTACTGGACATTCGGCTGTTTCGTCAGCCTAGTTTGGGACTCCTGACAGAACACACCTACCGAAGTCTGAATCCACGACCTTCTGGTTACAAAGTGGGTTCGTAGACCATTCATCAGCCACTGGGATCCGAACGAACGGCCAGCCCATGAATTCTAACTTTTGGCATTTCATGACATAGAGGAATCACTAGCCAATGTCTCCAGCCATTATTTGTCCTTATGTCTGACACGCTGTACCATACTGGTCACGACTTTTAACCAGAATCCCAGGTAACTGCCAACCGGAATACAGCCATTCACTAGGTGGTTCACTGTTTCATTATTTAGGGTAACTAGGATCCATTGGATAAGAATTATATTCATACGCTAGTGTCATTCAATGTCTTTCAGTGTGAAAACATCTATTGGTCATTATATTTGTATGTATTAAGTGCTTGATGAATGTACATAGGTGGAAAGGCACAGTCAAGGGCTGCAAGAGCGTTTTACTTTCTAGAGGCATTAAGCTGCGTCTCCTCGCGATACCTCTACCTCTCAAAAGAACGCATGAAATAAATTTCTGTTTGATTACAATTATTTTGAATGACAAAACTTTTGTATGTTACATATTCCCATGTCATGTACTTCGACTTCTAAAAACAAGTGTTAATTGTTCCTCTCTTACAGGTCACCATCATACGCCACAAGGATTTTATACACTTTCAAATATGCCTGTTAACAACACGGTGGCGCTTCACGCTGACTGGCGTCGAGATCAGTTTCAACCCAGTGTAAAGATGTCTTCATATCTGTTGGCATTTGTAATTTGCCAATTTCATGGACTTCGTGCTGTAGATTCAAAGGGAAGAAATGTGAGTAGTATGGAACTGAGTAGGCTTTTTCAAAGTATTTCCTGCTTATATCAGTGAGTATTTATTTATTATCCTGGTGTGTGAAGTAAGAATATTTGTGGATTTGAAAGGTACAGTCGGTTCTGTATGACGTTACTTTCTCTCTCTCTTTCTGATGTCATCATACAAATTCTTTGGGATATTTCAAGATGGTGAGTAGCCAGTAAGTGCAGGTATATAGTGCATAGTGTTTATTCTTATGTTATACGGGCGGATAACTACAGTTCTGTGTTTGTATAGTATTAAATTGTTAACGAAAGTTAAACATGTAATGTAAACGTATGACTACGTGTGAACGGAAATGACAATGTTACCGTAAGGTGAGAGGTGTCTGAAATTCCTGAAAACAGAAGGATATTTCATCAACTTAAGAGGCTTTATGTAAAAATCTCTGAAGACATGCAAAAAGCAACGTTAGGCTAAATACTGTGTTGTTAAACGCTAACAGATCAGTATATCCTCCATGAATTTCCTTTCAGAACAACATATACTAGTGGAAGAATGTGTTTCCACAGAGAAGTATCAAGTAACTTTTAAATGATTACAATATCTCATGCACTTAAGAAATGTCACCCTCAGACTCGTGCCTACCTAGTCGTTTCCTATTCACATTCCACTTGAGAGATGGCCTGTTTGGCGTGTGATGTCGCTCATCAGTCTTTGCAGAGTGTGTTCGATCCATCTGTCTTATTTTGCATTACTTGTTGGGTGACAGTTTCCTGGTTGGCTCGTTCCTGGAGTTCCTTCTTTCGAATTCTTTCTCGATATTTAATCTTCAGTATGCAGCTAGGGAAAGTAACCGTGTCAGGATAAATTGACTCATCGTATGTATTTATCACAAATCCACACATCTGGTTTCTGCCTATCAGTAAATATCTTGGTTACTTTATAGACAGGTCATTTCTTTGTCCTGTAATATTCAACTGTCTCACTAATTTATGTTCTTAGAATTCAATTGTGATGAGACTATTTGAGTCTTTGTAGATTCATGTAGGCGTAATGTTACAAAGTAACAGTTTCAACTTTCATCAACTACCTCAAAGTATAGAGATTGTCTCACAAATGGTTATTATCATTCTTATATTATGATTATCCACTTGCGTTGTGAGTGGAACATAGGGCTTCAACAGCAGATCTCCACTTCGTTCCGTTTTCTGACGTCATCTTCAGATGGATCCACGATTGCCTATAACCCCTCATCTCTTCCTCACGCGGTCTCTTTCATGTCACCCTCGCAATGACGACCCACTCGTCGCTTCTTATTTGCATTCCACTCGAGCAGTGAACTGGCTGGTGTACGATGTCATTCGGCGGCCTCCTTAATTTATGACCAATCGATCTACCTCCATTTTCTCCTACATATTTGTTGAGTGATCGGTTCTTGGCTGATTTGTTCCCAGACGGAGTTTCTTGTTATTAATTCTTTCTGCCCACCCATTTGATCGACTTGACAATAGTGTTAGAAATGCAAATCTTGTTCCTTATGCTGATTGCAGAAGATTTCCAAACTATTCGCAGGCTGATGAAGGCGTATTTCGCCTTTCTGATTCTGGCTGGCTAGCTGTGACACGTTAATCTGTTCTGCCTGTAGTTGAAACGATGCTTCCCAGATAAGTGAAGTAGGTAACCTCTGTTAAATCTCTCCGTTGATGGTGGTTAGTGCTGGTTGTTGCCGTTGTCGTTGCGGTCCGTTAGTTATCCTCATCACTTCCATATTCTCTGTGTTTGCCTGCGATCTTGTTTTCTCTACCAGACTCTTCAGTCAGTTTATTGGTTTTCGCTTGCATGTCTTCGAGTTTGTGTGATATTAGACTTATATCATCTCCGAAATCCAGGTCGTCTAGAGCCTTCTTATCGGTCGTCCAGCGTATTCCTGACTCCTCGACGCCAACAGTCTGACGCATAATCCAGTCCACCACAATTAAGAATATCATCGGTGGTAATAGGCAGGCAGCCAGCTTGTCTACTCCTGTATGCACTTCGAAGGCCTCGCTGAGTTTTCCGTTATGGATCACTTGACACAAGTGGTCATATCCCTTGAATATACAGTTGGCCAAATAAATTGCGATTATATTCAGAATAATGGCGTTTCACTCATGTTCATTTGTTACAATGTAGACGTGAACTGTACAATTACGAGTAAAGGTATCTCGAATGATTTCAGGCTTGAAGATTTTTCTTTATAAAAATTTCTGAATGTGTTTTTTTTAATACATCTCAAGTTGAATGATATACAAAGCATTGTTCATTATCTTTTACATTTAATCAGTTTACTGTTTGGGCAAGACCAGAGAAAATTGAATCAGCCAGGTATGCTTTGGATATCGGTAGAAGAATTCTTACATACTTTGAAGATTACTTTGGAGTTCCTTACCCACTTCCAAAAATGGGTAAGTATTTTCTAGAATTTTGTTGTTTTCTTTTCATTCATCCCTGGATGGATGGAGGGGATCATTCTGGAATTGGCTGAGTAACATATCTTCCACTTCATTGTCATCAGATACACCTTCCGATTTATTGATTTACTTATTGATTGTATTATTTCAGTCCTTTGCATTTCTAGTGGGGCATAAATAGGGCTTCAACTCTGGAGTGTTGTTGATTTTTTGGAGGGTAAGGTTTCCAGCCTCACACCCAGCATTCCCTCTTTACCGGGACTATTATCGGTTATGAGACGTGAAACGGTGCATCGATCGTGGTTCTAACCTGGATCACTTTTGATGTGGTTGGCGAGTAATTTGCCACTGCACCACCAACAGACGCCTCTTTTAATAAAGTGTAAAGAATCATTATAGTGGTATGTTGACGAAATCTGGTGAGAACAATGAACTGATTGTGGAGAAACACCCCTTGAATTTAGTTTGAGTCGAATAAATTGATTGGTGTTGCAACGACTTTTTGCAGGGCTGGCTAAAAAGACTTACTACCTTGTCAAGTATTGGTTTTGTATGGAGTTTTGTTTGATTGCTTGGAGGATTTCATCACGAGCTGACTTCATTTAGAGAACCACTGGAAAACAAGCTGGTAGTACTCGAGAGCTGGCTGTTTTGTCAGGCTAGTTTGGGACTCTGTCCAGTACTCCCAGCTCATTTTCTAATGATACTCTACTCTAACTGATGTCAACTCATGTTGAAATCCTCCAACCAACTTACTACACTGGATCACTGAATACAGACTAATTCATGTACATCACAGTATCAGTTATAGCTTATTCAGACGAATAATAAATTCCATAAAGTCGGCATTGACCTCCACTAGTATTATTCACAGTGAGAATATGCTGTGCGTTGCATATACTTCTTACGTGTAAGTACCAGAGACTAAAAAGCCATCGTCACAAATTTCCTGTTAATGGACGGCTGATAGCATAAGACATGTTGTAAAGCCGTTCAAGCAGATAGAATTGTGGGCGAGCTAGAGCTTGAACAGTTTTATTCTGATATATTTGAATAACTTAGGAACTCCTCCGTTATACCGTCAGTTTTAAATCACCTTGACTAACATCTAACATATAGTGATAGTGATATTGATAATAATATTAATGATAACAGTCGTAATAATAATGTTATTGACGACACGCATGTCAAACATGAACAAGATGATGATAACACCAACAATAAGGAATCTAAATCACCAGTGGTAATTCTATACAGGAAAGGAACCTCGGAAATCTTACGCAAAATTCTTAACAAGGCAGGAATAAATGTGGCTGGCATTCAAAACCAATAAGCCTTGTCGGTTAAAGGATCCTGCCAGTGGAGCCAATAAAACAAAACAATTTAGTTTATCTAATACCCTGCTTGCAATGATTGTCAGGTCAAATACATAGGTCTAACTATCATTTTTCTATTTTTTATTACAGCTTGATTCCACACACTATTTTTTGGTTCAAGTATGGAATTTTCAGCATGCGATATCGGTAGCCCAAATTTTGCAGGCCGACCATAGATATCAGGTGTGCGTCGGCAGAGGATCGAACCCCGGACCATGTGCATGGTCGGCGAGAGTCCTAACCACTGTGCCACCAACTCATAACTAGTAGAACTGCAGGAGTCAGACTAGTCAAACATGAAAACCCTAGCAGCAAAATATAGATTGGCTGACCCAAATAAGATAAGAAATCTAGAGAAGAGTTCAGCTATAGCACTCCCTACATGCAATTACGCATACACAACCATACAAGACGATGGATGGGATAGGATGACAGTTTTAAAATCTAATGTAACAGCTGGGTGGAGGGAGAGATTGATAAGTGACTGAGGCTTTGTTTATCGAACCAACTGGAAATACGTGTAGTAGGAATGGTTCAACATCTGTCCATCTGTTCATCTGGAAAATTCTACTACCAGCACGACGACAAATAGGAGAGAATAAAGAAAACTATAAAACTCAGGTTTCGAAGTCGTGTGATTATAATTGATAGATGATTTTGAACAATAATTTGTGTTCGAAACTGTGTCATCCAGTAAATAATACTGTTTCACTGACTGTGTGATACATCTAATAAACAAACTAATATGAAATTACTTACTGCCACAATGGTCAAGTTTTACACAAATATTATTATGCCACCAATATAGAAAAGCTTTTGGAAAGATCATTTTTTGATTTTCCAAATATCCTAGGATTATTTCAAACGAGTCGTATGATGAATGAATCACACTCGGCGCCTAAATTCTTCTAGGAAATTTGCAACACCTATGATCAGGATAACTACAGAAATAATTAGGCAGCGTGGTTCCCTAAAATTACCTTCAGAATAATGAAATAAAGATTGTGGACTGAGAAGATTACTTAAAATTGTTTTTTTCCGTTTGTATTTGAATTTAGATATGGTTGCACTTCCCAACTTTAAGGCTCACGCAATGGAAAACTGGGGTCTAATAACATTTATAGAAAGTTCACTGTTGTGGGATCCGTATACTGGTTCAGCTGCATCGAAGGAATGGGTGACAGTTGTTATTATTCATGAATTGGCTCATCAAGTAATGACAATTTCAAATTGATTAAATTGTATTTTTCTGCTGTGTATGTATAACTATGGTCTACTCTAGTGCTGTTTGTTTCAATGTAGCATCGATGAAATCCTACACGACATATATATACTACTGATTTAATTAAGTAATAAGTAGTCATTCTCATTGGTCACTGAATGCTTGTTAGCATAGGTGAATTAATCTAAACAAATTAATCGGTTCTGTTTTGGTGACGAATCACCAGTGTTTATTCTTGATGTTTTGAAACTACTTAAATCAACCACGAGTAATGTAGTGAATGAACCTAAACCATTTCGACGTTGTCTCTTTCGTAGTCGTGATATCCGACTATCGGTGTACTGCTCAGCATTCCATTCCGTCCTCCTTTATGGCTGTTAGACCTGGACATTGAAAAGGGGAGACATGAAAAGATTAGTGGTCTTCGATCATAGGTGCCTGCGCTCTATTTCCCGTGTGAAGTGGTATAATAAGGTGAGCAATATTGAGGTTAGGCATCGGTCAAGTGCTAGGTAAGGAGGGGAAATTAATCGACGAGGCTGTAAAGTTACACCGATTGAGCGAGATGGTTGGACATGTTTTACGTATGCCTAGTCATCATCTTCTTGACAGTGGGCAATGTTAGCTGACATAGGGTCAGACTAGAAAACAGCTATCGGCGGTCAGGCGAAAACATGGCACGAGTCAATGAAATCCACAACAGTTAGTTTAAGCCAGCCACGTAGGAAGGTGTAGACTTCCTGTTTGGGGTCCTCAGAACGGTAAAAATCAATGGTTGGAAACAATTGGTGATATGGTTCAAAATCGTTCTCATTGGTTGGCACAGATGCATCCACTCCTTGTGACTTGTACTTTCCAATGAAACTATATTGTTCTTCGTTATCACTATTCTTTTGTCCTACGCATCTGTTTACTGTCTCTATAATGCATTTCCTCTACTTTCCTCTCTTGCTTTGTGGGCTACATGGAGAGTGGCGACTTGAACAGCCGCACATCGGTACAAAGTTCTATGTGGATAAAAGACAGATGGGCGTGTGAAAACTTACTGCCATCTGAAGTTTTATTCATTTGCCCCTTGATTGGAAATACTTCTCACTGCAAGCCTCTCTTTAATCTAATTAGTAGTATATACAGAGCGATAGAAGACAAGGGTGAGGCAACAGATCGTTCATTGAGAAAATCAACAGATATTTATAGATTTTTATGAACATTATTATTAGCGTAATTGTTAGCAGAGGAGAAACGTCTTCTGATTGGTTGTTTTCCTGATGAAGATTATTCTGTCATCTCCGTTTGTGTTGCCGTTTCTTAGACAGTCCGGTGATATATCTGTGAATCGTATCCATCCACGCCAAGTGTGCTGTGATTGGTTGTTGAGTTCCTCAAGGTTAAGCTTTGTTCTTGCTTTCTCTCATGACCCCGATTTGGGAGGTGAACATTGACGTCAGTTGTTGTTGTCTACAATTTTTGTGGCTTGCAGACAGCTCTCACCACATATACATATACACTGCAGGAAGGTGACTATGACTAACTTTCACATTAGATAGGGAAAAATAAAAAAGATTTATTTTGGCGTGAGTGAACAACAGCATTTTACATTCTTTCTGTTTTCAAATTTTAGTGGTTTGGTGACTTAGTGACGATGAAGTGGTGGAACAACCTCTGGTTAAATGAAGGTTTTGCAAGTTTTCTTGAATACACTGGTACAGACTTTGTTCAACCACATTGGAAATACGTAGGTCGCTGCTTTATCTTAATTATTTTGTATTTTCTTATTTTTGTAAGTATCTGTGACTACTGAAAGACTCGCTTGACGGTGATATGAGGTAATTTTTGATTGATTAATCGATGAGCCATGATATGTTGGAATAGTTTGTATGAATTAACATCTTCCATGCGAAAGTCGACGTATTCTTACCAGAGTTTGAAATATGTCTAGCTATGTGATTGCGTTTGAAACTGACTGGTCAGGGAATCCAACATGTCATTTTTATGCTGTTTGGACTGATCGATGATGTACACTCAGCTGAAGAGTCTTCACTAGAGTGAGATGTGCATCCTGCATTTCACAACTGAAATCACATCACATCACATTAATCCTCGGGTATCGCCGAAGCGTCTGTAACATGGGTCAACAACGTGAGAAGAGACCGAATAGTTTCTCTGCAACACAGTCAATTAATGAGAGGTGAAACTTTAACCTGAAATTAAGAATTGGGCTGTTTGTCTTGTCAATTAGATTGAAACTGTCATTTGATATTTCCACCACCAAACTATAATTAATACAATTTCTTTTATGCCAAACAGGATGAACGATTCATATTTACCGATTTGCAAAGAGCAATGATCTCAGATGCCTCCATCAAATCTCATCCTGTTATTAATTCAGCTAAATCTCCAGACGAGATCGAGGACATTTTTGATCCAATAACATACAGTAAGGTTAGTTTGACAATGGCTATGGTTGGCGCTTTTTTAAAAGCGTTTTTTTATAAAATAGATAGAGGTAAAGCGTAATTGTATAGTCTGATTAAATTGTAAATGTTAGTGTCTGATGTATTGTGACCGCTTGAAAGTCGGTTATTCAGAGGATAACACGTAATCAGAGAAACAGCTATCATCACATGGTTGTAAATGATTAGCAATCCTCTCTACCATCAGTTCTTTCTATTAGAAGAGAAATTGATAGCAATATTAAATGCTCAACTATACAACCAGAAAAGTCAAAGAAAAAATGACCACTTGCATATAAAGTGACAAAAAAACTCAAAGTTTCTATATGGAGGTGGAATTTTAATAATTTTCAATCTCACTTTGATCTTAAACGGTTAGTCCGGATTTAGTTGTGCTGGATCTAGTTAACAGACTTAAAACTGCATGTATTTCGTCGGGGATTTTCATTCGATAAGAAATTGCTATTTTCGAGTCATAGGCTCAATCGAACAAATATCAGGGAGGCTGTAAAATTTACTTCTCAACAAAGGGAAGAATGTGAACTTTTCAATTATAAGTAGTGTAATACAAAGGAGCTTCAAAAATGGACTGTACTGATATCCAGGTAGTACAGTTTCTAACAGAACACACCTGATATATGAGGAGAAAACATGAGGGGTAAGCGAACTGATGGAACCTGAATGACACTTTATCTAAGATGTATGCAGAAGAAGTCATTTTCCTGGAAGTGTTTCAATGCAGTGTGTGTTTGTGTGTGGCATTTTATGCATGCTGATGTTAGCAGTCTATACGACTTCGTTCTGTCTCATGATGCGGTTGTCAGGAGGAATACAAGAGTTTGTTAAGTTGATATCTGGTAACCAGAAGCCTGAAAGGTGGGAAACAGCACCGGATCAATTCAACAAGAGTGGACTGCTTTATTGTTTGAATTGGGAGAGTATTGGATTTATAATGCTTACAAAATGTGAAATATGGGGAATTTCCGGAACACATAAGTCCCACTAACGAGACTTTAAATTGATTATAGGCTTGTGGGATTGTTTATTTCGCCAAAGTGGCGTATCACAAATGCCTTCTCAGGTGCATTTGCAATGCAGATGCTGCGATATAAATAAAAAATGAAATCGGAGTGTTTAATAATAATAATATTAACAGCTTTATTCCAAACGGTATTTGTGATACAGGTATGGAATTTTCAGCGTGCATTACAATATATTGCATCTAATTACCTAATAAATTTTATAAGATTTTTAAAATCAAAAATAAATGAATAAATAAATAAATAAATAAAAAAACCAAAGCCAAAAAAGATAAATAAAAAAAACAGCGTAGCGTTTACATTGCAAACAATGCACCACAGGATATGAAATATAAAGTTGATGTATGATAGAAGATGAGGAAAACAGTGTAATAGTAACGAGGAAAGGAAAACAAAATCCAATGGGGCTATTTGTTAGAGTGCCGCAGTAAGTTGATCGTGTCATACCTCGTGTCATACTCGATATGTGATTACGTAATATTTCTTTTCACAACAATAAAATCAGTTTATATAATGGTGTAAGGGTTTGAACTGGTGTATTCTGTGGTGTTAAAATAAGCGAGTAAGGCTTTAGACATACTGTTTGTGTGCACAATATTTCATGAATTACAGTCTTCTATGCTTTACCAATTTACAGGGTGCTTCGTTAATCCGGATGATGAAGTCATTTCTTGGAGATGATGTCTTCTTAAATGGCTTGAAGGTGAGTTACGTTTCGATTCCTTACACAAAAAGCATTTGTTTCTTATGCGTTTGAAAACTGGACGTAGTTGAGGTGCTTTATATTTGGCCAAAGTGTATCTTTTTAACTCTGCATACTGTTTTGTACTAATCTAGTAGTAGACGCGAGCATCACTCGACAACTTCGTCAGCTTTATCCATTTCCGTGAATTTTCATATAAAATCATCACTCTACGTGTAGTTTTCTGTCATCACTTGTAGTTTGTAAACAAACCAGCTAGGCGTCTTATTTTTCAAAAGTATCAGACATCTGCAAATGCGCTTTGCAAAGTGGACAGTTCCCTTGACTGATTCACCTTCAGGTAACTTAAATTTTATTCCCGACTTAAAGGGGTTGATTGTTAGGCAGACCTACAGATTTGAATCGAACACTTGTTTTGTTTTAATTAATTCTCTGATGGCGGTCATTCATAAATATTTAATTGATAAACATTACACAACAGGTGATTTAGTTAAATTGAGTTTAGTTGAAAAGAATGTGGTTTTTCAGGGAGAGATATATGAAAGTGGCGTATGTGAGACTCTACAAGTATGAGAACTGTAGAATGAGTATATGATAATATTAAATAGTTAGTAGTGACTAGTTGTGAGTAGCATCTTTCATTTTTACAGGTGCCTTAGATGGCATCTACTTCATATGAGCCTAAGTGGAAGTCAGTAGTCAAAAGCAGCACTAGGAAAACTGCATTTACATGTTACAACTTCAGGTTGGTTAATATTCACAATGTCACTTTTCTTTATTTCCACAAGATCTACTTACAAGAAAACAAATATAAAAATACGGACGAAGAAGATCTATGGAAGGCGTTGGATCGTGTAAGTCTCTGCTTTCAAATAACTAACAACTTACAGTAAATGTTTTGATATTTTGATGAGTAATGTATTTCTGGTGATACAACAGACTTTCATGTTGTTAACAGGTCATGGTGATTTTCTTCAATCATAATAATCGTTATTATTGTTTCTTTCAATTCCTAGAGGAAAATAGAGCTTCAGCCGCATGTCTCCATTGCCGTCTCTTCTCTGCCAACGTTTTCATCTGGCTCCACGTCTCCCCAAATGCTTTCATCTCCTCTTCGCACGACCTCTTCCTCCATGTCACCCTGTCACCGATGCCCAACTCGCCGCTTCCCACTCGGGTTCAACCAGAGCGATGACCTGGCGTGTGATGTCAATTGATGGTTTGTCTTCTCAGAATATGGTCAGCCAATCTACCTTCATTTCTTCCTGCTTATTTGATGCACAATGATTTCGGCTGGGTTGGTTCGCTCATTGCCAGAAATCCCTCTCTGTTGCTGATCTTTTCTGGCCGGCCATCTGATCTTGAGTAGTATTGAGAGAAGACAGCTGTTGATGAGGGTGTGTAGTTTGTTCAAAGTGTTTTTCGTGACGCGACGTGGCGCCAAGTCTCTGATCCGTATGATAGCATTGAATTCACACTGAAGTTGAAAATCTGGATCGAATGTTTCATGCTGAGTGTTGTTGATCTCCACACAAACTTTTGAGAAATGAAGGCCTGCCTTGCCTTACCGATTTTCGCTTTGATATCCTCATCAGTTCCATCTGCCTGTAGTTGAAACGACGATGCTTCCCAGGTAGGTAGGATTTCTCCCAATAGTGCCGGCTGATTGTTGTCTGTTGTTGTTTCTGTTGCTGTCGGTCACAAATCTTCATCACCTCTGTTTTCTCTATGTTCGCCTGAAGTCCCTCCTACCTTTGATGCTTCTTCTGTCAACTTGTTGTTTTTCACTTGTAAATATTCCAGTTTGTAGGAAATCAGATATATAATATCGCCGAAGTCGAAATCCCCGAAGTTTTTTGTGTGGGTCCATTTTATGCTTGTCTTCTTGTTGCCCTCTGTGAATCTGTCTCTTTATTCAGTCTACCGAAATCAGGGCAACCATTGGAGAAAGAAGGCAGCTAGCCAGCTTGTCTTACTCCCGTCTTCACTTCGAAGGATTCCGTAAGTTTCTCATTGTGGATTACTTGTCATGCAGCATTGTCGTGCATGTGTTGGACGAGGTGTATAATTGTTGGCGGTACTCCACAGTAGCGAAGTAGCTTCCAAAGTACCTCTCGATCGACGCTGTCGAAGGCCTTCTAAAAGTCAATGAAGTTGAGTGAGATAGAGAGCTGACTGTCATTCCAAGCTCTTTTCAATGATAATCGTAGTGTTGCGATTTGATCGATGCATGACTTATACTACTTTGATATCAGAAAGCGGTAAGCTACCCTAGGAACTGTTTGGAATTCACTGATAAAATACAATTCCAATGAACACGCTGGAAGTAACCATTTTGTTAAATACTATGCTGCATTAGGCTCTTATGATTAAAAATACGTGTACAGTTCAAATGTAATGGGATCTAGTTTTGAAATTTTAGGCGGTCAAAAGTGTCAATAAAGACATCGACATCAAATCAATCATGGATACTTGGACAAAGCAAATGAATTATCCAATTTTGATTGTTAACCGAAGTGATTCCAACACCTTCGATTTCAAACAGATTCATTTCTATGAGTCGTCTAATGATACTCTTATGCCATCCCCATACAAGTGAGTGGAGTGTTTTTCATCAATTTCTTCCATCTTGCCATATAGATGATGGTGTCTTGTTGGAATTTATGTAACATTTTATCTCGATTTCTCGTCAGTAATAGGATGGATATAGGAAGTCTCATTCCAGAATTCATGAGGTAGTAAAGGGATGCATCATTTGAAATTCTTCTATAATTTGCTGATTCACAGCAAAATATTCTAACTGATTAAAAATGTCCATTAAAATTTTCAAAGTATACTCCTTTCGACGACCTCCTTTTCATCAGGTTCTACAGTTATATACACATAATATGGAATGAATGAATTAGTACTATTAACAACAATAATGTTGAAAGAACATCGAATCAATAACAATAATTATATCAATTGACTACAGTTTGATAGCATCAACAACATAACAATACACTGAATATCAGTTAAATTAAGAAAAATAAAAGTACTACAAATTCATGAATTATTAGTCTTTAATGAGGGCCGGATAGGGCAGTAGTAGTGGCTAGCTGGACCTGTTTCTTCTGAGCACAAAGCACAGGTTGTTTCAGGAGAATCGCGATAGTCTCTGCTGTTTGGAGCATGTGGTACTTCGATGTTTTTGGCAATTTATCCGGCATCCGGCAGATGATAGAGAATGATTCTTCAATGATTGCTTTATGGCCGGTTCGAACCAGGTGGTCTAATATCGAACTGTTCCTACACCTTTATTTGGCCAAACTGGTAGATATTTCCTGGCGGTCACGAAAAATCAAGTTCCAAGAGTAACGGCCGATATAAGCGCAGTTAAATTGGTAGATGCAGTTAGAAGTGGCTAGTCTAGGTACTTCATCTTTCAATCGAGGAATGACCACCGGTCGTGTAGAAAGTAAGGCTGGTAATTTGCCAGAATTAAAAGTTTTTTAATCTGATTTTCTGAACTTCTTCGTAATTATTTCGCTAGTTTGATCGCCCTTGAATTCCAGTCATTTGTATTCAGGCTTCTTATTTACAGATGGAGAATAGTCCTTTTCTGCTTTCTTGGTTATGTCTTTGCTGATGAGTTTGTCTGGATAGCTATTTTCAATCAAGGTATCATATACAATCCTTAATTCATTTTCAGTTACCTCTTCTGAGCAAATAGTTCTAATCCTGTGGCTGAGGGTCATTAATAAATTTCTTTTATACTTGAGAGGAACGAAGCTGTGAAAATTTGTCCTGTCCTTGTACTCTTCGAATGAATTCAAAGCTATCACTGCTTATGAATCTCCCATAAATGACATGTGAAAACGAAGTTTGGTTAGTTTGCAGTAAATGGGAAATGGGAGGGTTCTGTCACCTGTCAGAAATAGTTTGAAATAGAGAAAAAACTTTGCACTTTGATGAGGGATTATTTAGAAGAGTGAAAAGTACTCCTACTACTCTGCAGTCAAACATTTGCACTAGCAGATGTTTGTTTTGTTGCATAACTGTGTAACAGAAGAACAGTTCCTTACGATATGCACACTCAGATATATAATGAATGGAGAAGACTTCTTCTAAAGCCAAATTATTCAATATTAGTTTACCGGTCATTTGAATAGTTCATTTGAAGAAATATGAAGCTTGGAATGCTCTACATGAAAATTGTAGTATGGAGATGTAAGTCGCAATTCTTAAATGCTCATCAAAATGGATCAGACTGGCTGGAAGAAGCAAAAATTAGGTGTGGTAATCTGATGGGCAGTGAATATCATATCAAATTGAACGTACCCTTTTGGGTAATTTACCGAGTATCGAGTTATCTGTCTGAAAGGCATACAATTTCATCTCATTTACTTGACGGAATCGTGTGTAGTACAGAAATAATATTAGAACAAGACATATAAGCGAACAATATTGTTTTCAATTAGATCTTCTTCAGGCTTTACTCTAATTTACATAGACTTATATATACAAAATTTTAACCAATGACGGTGATTTTATGGATCAAATAATAATAATCATAATAATAATAATACTAATGTGGTTAGGTGAACTCCTCCAACCGTTACACAAGATGGTAGTAAGTCATAGTGTTAAAGACGTCTTTGAATTTATTGCTAACGTGGATGATATCAATGTAAATGGGAAGCAAATGCTTTCCTTAGATGTAGCATCACTGTTTACCAATGTACCACTTATGGAGACTGTGGAATTCATATGCCAACAGATACTAGAAAAACAGATCGACATCGGAATACCGGTTGGTGGTCTGAAAGAGTTGCTTTTAAGATGTACTATAAATGTACATTTCATATTCAACAACCTTTACTACAGGCAAATCGACGGTATTGCCATGCGTTCTCCATTGGGGCCAATTTTGGCGGATTTCTTTCTTGCCAAGATTGAAAATGGTCCATTGAGACAAGTAATAGAGAAAAACGACTCTTATTTTCGTTATGTTGATGATACGTTTATTATTCTTGATGTGAAAGTTGACAAGAATGAAATGTTGAAAAAGTTTAATGATGCACATCCGTCGCTCATCTTCACTTGTGAAAAAGAATATGATGGTAGACTACATTTCCTTGACGTCCAATTGAGCAGAAGAAAGGATGGTTCACTCAAGAGAGATGTCTATAGAAAACCTACATCTGTAGGACAATATACATATTTCCTCAATTTTGTACCAATCCGATACAAGATCAATTTGGTCAGATGCCTGACGAATAGAGCAAGACGCATCTGTACAGATGACTCTCTAGAGAATGAGCTAGGATACATCCAAAATACGTTAGTCCAAATGGGTTATCCTAGTAGATTTTTCAGGAGACACATGAATGCCAAGTACAATAAAGTAAAACTGACAACAATTAAAAAGAAACAACTTTTCATGAAACTGCAATTTAATGGGGACGTGGCTAGTGAAGTCTTACATCAGAGATTATCGAGAGCGATAAAACGGACTTATACTGCCGCCACCCTCTGTTTGTCATTTTCCAGCCCACCAATTTTGATTGCTAAAGTGAAAGATAAGCTACCTAGTTGTGCCACTTCCATGTGTATCTATAAATTTAGTTGCTCCTGTGGAGAAAGCTATATAGGCCGAACAACTAGAGAGTTCAACAAACGCATTAATGAGCATCTTCCTTCATGGTTCGGAAAAAGTCAAATAAAATCCATACGAAGTTCTATTTTGGCTCATTTGATTAATAGTGGTCACCAAGTGGACAAAAATAATGCTTTCAAAGTTATTTACCGCATTCCATCGAGTCTTTCGAACGGAATCAGAACCCGTCTTTTACACTTAGCCGAAGCTATGGGAATTCGAGAGAACAATCCTAGTCTTTGCATACAAAAGAAAAATGTTTTACCTTTGTCTCTCCCTTGCTTGCCTAGGTCAATTCTATTCAAAACCCTCCCACCCTTTCTTATCATCCCTCTCCTTCGTACTTTTATGATATTTATTTAAACTCTGATTATCGTTCCATTTGATTTGACCTAATTTATTTATTTATTGAATTGTCTACATATATGCATATACTAACTTTGTTATTCTTATCACCTGTATAAGTTTCTATAGTTTGATTTGTAAGGATTAGTTATGTTTTACGGGTTGACCACGGATTGATATCAGTTAGAGAACCATTGAAAACCAGGGAGTACTGGACAGCTGCTGTTTCATCCTGCCGATGATTCCCAAACTAGGATGAAACAGCAGCTGTCCAGTACTCCCTGGTTTTCAATGGTTCTCTAACTGATATCAATCCGTGATCAACCCGTAAAACCTGTATAAGCCTTATTATCGATATTTTGTTATCATTATAATCATCGTTATTAACTTCGTTCAAAACATTTACCACATTATTATTTTATCATTATTATTATTTGATCCACAAAATCACCGTCATTGGTTAAAATTTTGTATATATAAGTCTATGTAAATTAGAGTAAAGCCTGAAGAAGATCTAATTGAAAACAATATTGTTCGCTTATATGTCTTGTTCTAATATTATATATGGGAGTACAGAAATAAGCCGAAATTATGCTGCTTGTTAGGTGAATTGAACTACTGCGTATTCATCGGTGTACTATGAAGCCAATAACTCAGATGGTCGACTTCATATAAAGTTGTGTTCATCAACTTTTTAGTTCTTTATCAGCTACCCATTCTTATAAGATATGACTCTGTTATCTATCACAAGGTAATTAATTCCTTCTATCTATCTATCTATCAACAGTCAACCATCAGCAGTATGCACCAGTCAGGGTTCGGACCCAGGAGGTTCTGGTTAGAAGGCGAGCTCGTAGACCATTAAAACACTTGGAACCGATCACATGACCCATGAATTCTAATTGATTAGTTGGCAATTGTTAAAACCCTGGATTTCTTTGCTTCATAGTTAAAAGATGCAGTTAAATTTTGTTCTGGCTAAAATCCACTTATCAGTTTTTACGTCCGGTCACTTCTCCGTATACGGAAATGGAAGAATCCTGTCGAAAATCCTCGTTTATAAACATGTGAAGTGCTACATAGTTGAATTTCAAATTAATCGTCAATCTTTATACAACAGAAGAGAATGTATAGCATATTTCACAATCATTTTAGCTTTCACATCTGGTAGAACAACGAAAATATTTTTTGGTGTCATTTATTTGAAATTTTGTTTACTTAGTTTCACTTGGAAAATCCCCATTATTTACACGACAAAGGATGGGTCAGCGAATGAAATCATATGGATGAACAACGGTAAGTAGTGCTGTATGCTGTATGCTATATGAATACGTGTAATGGTCACAAGTTCAATAAAACAATCCATCACCTACCTACCTACCTATCCACCCACCTATTCGTCACTTTGTAGTTGAATCCCACTCCACGTCCTGGTATGTGACATCAATGAATCCTTCTTCGGTGTACGTTCAATTCACCTGCATTTCTTCCTGAATATTGGTTGGACAGTAGGTTCTTGGTTATTTGCCTCCCTCAAAGAGATTGTTGATGCTTATTCTTTCTGGCTATCCGTCTGGTCTTCATTGTCGAGTGGAGGCAGGTGTTGATGAAGGTTTAAAGTGACATGTTGGAGACACCTGTGGTGACGCACCAATCACTGGACCACATAAAAGCGCTGACTTGACAGTGGTGTTAAAAATCCAGATGTCGTATTTTTGTGCTGAGTGTTTATTTGTGTGTGTGAATCTTCAAAATTATTTCAAAGTAATGAACACCTGTCATGTTTTTCTGATACTGTCTTCGATACCTTCATTTGTGACCCATATAGTTGAAAAATACACCGATTGAATCATTAATTCACACATTTTTACTACAACTAGAGTTCGTATTCAGAAATTTAGAAGACAGAGAAAAGTTCAAGGGAATAAATTTCCTTTTTAATACACCACTTAGTAACTGGTGTCATGTGTCCAGTCCTTTGTTTGGTGCAGTCTGAATTCTATCAGTCAAGTTTGCAATAGGGCACACATGCTACTAGGTGGCTCGCCATCATTGAGCACTTTGGATTGTTGATATTAGTTGGTTAGAGGTAATCGGCAACAGGAAGCCTTACTTGAGCTAGGTTTCGTGCTAGTTGACACCCATCAGTCAGGAAGGTGTATCTGAAACCTTGAAGGAACTCATGTCTCTATAATTACATATATATATATATATATATTCCGTAATAATCGTCACTGATAATAATGATACTTTTTCAGTAATATCGATTTGTTAGGATCAATGGAATTACAGTTCAAGGGAGATGCATAATTTATTATGAGCATTGAAAATGTAATACTAAATAGAATATCGTATAAGGTTAAGAAAATGCATAGGAATTAAGGATAGTTAAAACACTGATGAAGAAAGCAAGAGGGAGCATATGAAGTAAACTATTTCGGATTCATAAGATGGGCTTCTTAATGTAGATTCCGACGGCTTCAGTAATATATAACAGAAGAACTCTTGACATAAAATTAAAGTTTGTCGGAATACAATAGATAACTTTCAGAGCATCGTAAACATCAATTTTGTGTTCTGTATCCACGAGATGAGATATATAATAGAGTTATGAATGGACCTTGTTTTTCTTTGCTTAACCACGCAGGATGGTGTTAGGAAATCCAATGATAAACACGCCTAACTGTACGCCCTATGACAGTGACTCCACAGGAACAGTCAAATTGATAGATTTACACAGAAGAGGCAAAATTAGGTAAAATAGGGGTGGTTATAAAGAGACAGCGGCAACGAATGAACGTTTCACTGCATTACTCAGAAGCTGCGCTATTATTAATTGCTGGGGTCGTCATTGAGGAGATGGATTTGTAAGGACTGTTTGTACTCTTACTTGCCTTGAATTCACATTCATATTGTTGTCGATGAATTTCTCTGGGTATTCGATTTTACTCATCAGTTGTTTATTAGTAGTGAGCTCTTCATTAAGACATTTATCAGAGTAGATTTCTCTTACTTGGGAGATAAAACGCTTTATTAGATTGCGTTTATATAGACACTAAAATAAAACATTTAGGGATTAATACAATATGAAAGTCTTAGTTCCTTTGTTTATGCTGTTTTCAATTATACTGTGATGAAGGTTGGCTGTTAGTCAAAATTGGTGGACAGTAATTTACGTCAATATTTATGTCCCAAATATTGGTCGTGAGAAAATATGAACAAAGACTTATTCAACAACCAACCACAGCAGACTTTGCGTAGGCGGATACATTTGATGACATACAGATGATCTGACATTCAAAAAACAGCCACAAAGAGATGAAAGATTAACTTTCAGTGAGAAGCAACCAATCAGAAGACTGTGTTTGTTTGCTTGAATAATCTATAATAATGTACATGAAAATATATAAATACGTGTTGATTTCCTTAATAAACGATCTGTTGTATGGTGCTTGTCTTCTGTTGTTACAATACTATTAGATATCTAGTTCCAAGATAAAATGCATCCCCTATTCCGTTAAATATTTTATTCATAAGGAGATTAGATAAAGTGGAAAGGAGAATGTCTAGTGAAGCGGAATTACGAATGACCATCCCCAGACGGACGAAGACTTTGTCCATGTGATAGGAATGATCTAAAACCAATTTCAAGTATTCGTAATCCACAATGACAATTTGAACATTATTATGATTCATTCGATTCCAGTCTACATCATTTGTTTGAGTGCATTTCGATTTCACTGTCTTCTAAGCTGTGCGGCATTCAGTTGCAACATACAGTACACTAACTGCTATGTAAGAATGTAACAACAGAAGACAAGCACCATACAACAGATCGTTTATTAAGGAAATCAACACGTATTTATATATTTTCATGTACATTATTATAGATTATTCAAGCAAACAAACACAGTCTTCTGATTGCTTGCTTCTCACTGAAAGTTAATCTTTCATCTCTTTGTGGCTGTTTTTTGAATGTCAGATCATCTGTATGTCATCAAATGTATCCGCCTACGCAAAGTCTGCTGTGGTTGGTTGTTGAATAAGTCTTTGTTCATATTTTCTCACGACCAATATTTGGGACATAAACATTGACGTAAATTACTGTTACCAATTTAGCTAGCAGCCTGCTCTCATCACAAGAATATTACTCATTGGGCCGGAGTATTTTTTTATTTAGTCATTATAGGTGTAGTGCCGATTATATATGGAGTACATAATGTTATATTAATTTTCTTCATCTCAAAGCTACTCTGAAGATGGAGCTCAACGTTATGCCAAATGACTGGTACATAATCAATATTGGACAGATTGGATATTATAGAGTTCATTACGTTGACAATAATTGGGAATTACTGATAGATGAATTACTCAAAAACTATAGGGTAAGTTGTTCCATTTACTGAGAAAGTAGGACTGATTTAAAAAATCTTATTTCGTAATAACAGTGACCATAACAGAAAAGGTCAAGTTACAATCGTCTATTATTGAGTCATTCAATTATAATCACTGATACAGTCTGGTTAGATACGAATCTGTTCAGTGACCTACATTAAACTGAACACAAGTGGCTGACAACATCCTATAAGTGTGATATGTGTGAATTACATAACCTGAGGAAATGTTTGTCATGTTGACATTGAGGAATAAGCAAAAGGCAGGAAACGGACTATATGGAGAGAAAGTGGGTGTTCGACTGAGATATGTACGAGGTAACATGTTGGATATACACGATATCTTGTAATTTTATTACTACCTTGTAAAGAAATGCAAACGTGTTAATTGAAGGACGAATATTAAATGGTTACTGATTAACGCCAACTCAGCCGCCTTACTTCATGATCGCAATGTTCATTTGATTTTATCAATCCTTTCAGCTGCATGAATAATTCAAAGATCTCTTTCCCACAGAAGGCAGTCTTCTTCCCGAGTCTCTACTTCAACCACAACTCACAAATTAGTACAAGATAAAAAAGGGTGAAGGCTAACACAAAGGGAAGATTTCTATCATGTTTAATATGTGTTAACGGTTAGAAGGTATGATGCACGAGAATGTTGGCCAGTTGATTTATCTCTTAGAATGTTTCTTGAAAAGAATAACTACACAGTGTGATGGACAATTCCCCACTGGAGTAAATCTGTAGATATGTAAAACGAAATAATTAGGATTTCACAGAACACCGAAATCTGTTTGTCAAAATGACTTAGAAAATTGTAGTTCATATTGCAGAAGCCATATATTCACAAAAACACTTTGTCCGCCAAAAGACATTTGTCTAATTTTAGAATGTGTAAACAATCTGAGTTGATGACGTCCTTGTCGTGTGTGTTCTATCCGTGATCAGGTAATCAATGTGGATTCCTGGAGAATCCCATTCTAGTATGAAGAATCCTTTTGCAGTTCCTTGGTTTTCAGCTCTCTTCTAGTTGATGTGTGTTGCCTAGTGAGACAAAAACATTAACTTTGAAATAATTTGAATCTCCACAAGTATGGCATTCAAAGATCATTCAAAATTTCTGTTAATTCATATGGTCTATTTTCTATTTTCAGAGTATTCCAGATTCTGCACGTCCACAGATCATCGGTGATTTATTCCATCTCGCAAAGTAAGTGATCACTAACTAAACGAAGATCATAAAATAAAAATATACCTATGGAATCACTAACTGATGAGCAGTGGTCAGGTTAACTATACACCTCTAGTTCTTTCTCTGCACTATCCTACTATCTGGTAGGCGAGTTGTTTTCATAAGAAGGCTTCATATTGTTATACTGGTTCATTGGAAACATCAGATATCTTCCTCATTTGTCTCGATTTGTTTCATGATTTCACAGAGGTCAAGAAAAGCACCTATTTAGCATTTCAAAAAATCTGAGCTGTTAACAATTTCATCTGGAATAGGATATGGATATTTCGTCTTGCATTTATTCCTTGAAATTCTCATGTCTAATGGTGTCATGGTAAAGCGTTAATAATAACATAGTAATGAGTTTACACAACAGGTGATTGCTACAAAATTTATACGCATATGCTTCATCCGCAATAGTGGAAATTATAGCCTAAACAAAGTTCCTTTGGAGGTGAATTAGTAGCCAAGACGTTCCTGCTTCAGTTGTGTTGTTTCAATAGGAACTGCAAAGTGTATCTTAGTGTACAGTGTGTGGAAATCCACTCATAGTTACATTAAATGTGCTTATATTTCTCCCATCACTAGCATGATATCTCAGACAGTGAATGAGAGACTGCATTCTTCTTCAAAAACAGTGTAAACGTTTTCCTTCAACATTACACCCTGCCTATTTTCACCTTCTTAATGTCATTAGTAAAAAGAGATACATTTAAACAGTTATCGGTTGTTCAATGTTTCGAGGAAAACAAAGTATTTCTGAATCTCAAACACCATATTGCCCCAAAAACTATCAACAACCTGTAGGATTATTAAGGTGAACTAGGTTTTGAAGTTCTTGTACATATTCAAGATAAAATATGAGATCTCAATTCAATTTAGTGAGAAGTACATACTGAGTGTCACCATTCGGAATGCCAAGAGTCGAAACGTTTAAGGCTGAGATAGTTTGTGTTGATCAGGACAGTTTGAAAACGAAATAGCAAACGAAAATTCAGTGTGCATTGAACAAAAGACTAGACACATGACAACTATTTACTACTGTCTAGTGTCCAATCAAAGTATAACTGAAAATCTCTCATATTTTCTACTTTCTTCCAGTCATGGTAACGTATCATTCACTACTTTCCTGAACTTGACGAAATATTTGAGCCAAGAAACGCAATATGTGCCTTGGACAACTGCCGGAAGAGCTCTTCTCTATCTTGACCGTATGCTTCTTTTGGATGAGAATTACGGAGATTATCAAGCATATGTACGTCTCCTTGTAAATGCAGCTGTGAGAGACGTTGATTGGATAACTATGAGAGAAGATCGCAATGAAGAGAAACAGTAAGTTTTATAGCTTTCTTAATCATTCATTCGTTGCAACACTTATGCCTAATTGTTATGTCAAATGTAGTGCTAATGGCAGTGGTATTTCAAGACTAATGGATTAAGAAATATGATTAAGAAATCTTCAGACACTTCTAATCTCCGAATGCTTCCATACATTTGAATGAGGTTGTGTTCCCTGAGCTGGGTGATTTAATTAAGAAGCGCATCACTAAAATTTTCGGTTTTCTAGATAAACGCCAAGATTCTAAAGAAATTCGCTCAATACAGAATCATTAATCAGTTAGAGATTAAAGTGGAATTAAATCGTTAAATAGAGACACATAACATAGTTGATGGGAGTGAAAAGAGTTGAAGTAAAGTCTGGCCAAGAGCTATAACGATGATAATAGTGAAAAGTGATCAGGGATAAAATGCTTAACAATCGATAACTTTCAATTACTCATGAAGATTTTAGCGATGCAGGATGTTTTAGCATATACTGATTTTCTTTGCATGTATCTGAACGTTGTGTGGAATAAATTTGTAGGCACGTATTTCTGGTCATCTATGTGCTTCATATTCAGTTGTCAATGACTTAAACCTCATCAAAAAAGGTTGATTTGCATTTGATTTCTTGTCTCGTTTTGTTGTTGATCTTCAGTTTGTTACGCGGAACCTTGGGGGAAATTGCTTGTCATGTTGAACATGAATTATGTTTACTCACTGCTAGAGTGTTATTCACACTATGGATGTCGGAACCTGTGACGAATCCGTGAGTTATTCAAGAAACATTAACTTTTATTTTGATGTTATAATGAGATAGTCGCCTAGACATTTTGTTTGAATCGATGTGGAAGTGATTTGAAGAGCAACAGTAACATTTTCGAGATGTGTTGTTAAGAGAAGTTGTCCAGATTGTTCCATGTATTTAGTCTTGGAGAGCACTCCACTTACCATTATTTGTGGGTAATATAGTGACACTTTCCAATATAAAGATGGAAAGCTGACGTAATTTCATTTAGAGTATCATTTAGTCTAGTTGAATGTCAAAATATTGAAACGATGCAGATGTCCATCTCTCATTTATGGCATTCTGAGGCACGTTTTATTGATCAACCAACGAATCTGAACACTTACTTGTTTTAAGATCTCTTGAGATGAGTCAAACGGTAGGGAAACTCATTAATGTGACATGAATTTCATAACTAAATAGATGGATGAATCAAGATCAGTGAAGAATTCTCATGACTGATGGACATTACGGTGTTATTGAATCCATTTCTCGTTAAAGATACATATTACTGGTAAACATATTTTGGGCGATCAGTGTACCACAGCAGAATAAACATTATTGGAGTATGAAGTTGAAATATATTTCAAGAGAATTTCATAGGAACTCACTTCTTTGACAAACCTCAACTTGTCGATCACATATTATTGAAATATCTTGACAAAATTGATTGATGATGAAGTGGCTGATGGATGACCTGTTCATAACAGATGTACTGATTTGGCCTTCAATTATTGGAAAACTTGCAGGGAGTACTGGACAGACAGCCGTTTCATCAGTCTTGTTTGGGACTCTTCGCCAATACGCGCCTACCGGGGACCGAATCCAGGTCCTTCTGGTTACAAGGCGATCTAGCTCGTAGACCACTAAGCCGCTGGTACCAGATCCATTGAACAATTTACGACAGCTCATGGTGGAATCCCGTAACCAGTCAGTCTAATCCCTACAAACCAATACTTGGCCTTCATTTGATAATGTCAAATATTTGACTCGTCTATATCCTCGAAATATGCATTCTTCATAGATATGACTCTCCGAAAGGTGCTAAATTTTCTCCCCATAATTCATTAACCGTAGTTATGGTTTAATTCTATAGGGGGAATCGAGATTCAAGCATGCAGTAAGCTCTCTATCAAGCAAATCTATTGTTAAATGGGGTAAGATTGTTGCAAAATACCTAAAAATACTTAGTAATCTGTTTACAGGCAAGTTTCAACGCAAACTTCGAAGAAACACTGGAGAAAAGGCAGTAACGACCAAAAATTGGGGTGTTGTGGTTTGAAAGCAGGAAACCGATTCATTGTGTTCTACTGTATAGCTAACAATAAATTAATAATAATAGTAATAATAATAAAGCGTTATTTCACACAATATGTGAACATATAGTACAAAAATCTTCAGTGTATTAAGTTCCAAAATGATTTTTTCTTGAAAGACGATTTACATGTAAAGTAATAATCTGAAGTATATCTTTGTTTCCTTGAAGAACTTCACAGCGTTTACTTGGAAACAAGTTGAATCAGCGCTGAATTTCATCTATAGGTTATTTGATATATCTGAACAATTAAAACAACGATAAATCCCCATGAAATTAAGCATTATGGTGGAAAGCAGTTTCGGTTGGCCAGTGATTTAAACAGGCCACCATAAGTTCTTTATATCATTTACTCACAGTCACAAAAACGTCTGGACAGTAGTAAAAAGACAGCTGTTTATGATAAATACCACGGTACAAGTAAATACAATCATAACATATGGAAATGCAAAATTACCTCAACAATCCCGTTAGGCAGCTATGCAGATCAAATCAGATCTCAGATACGAGAGAAGTATTATACAACAGAATTATTCAGTCTAGATCAACCGTATAAGGTACTTAGGAATCAAGAAGTATATTTCCAACTAGGTGGGATTGAAACTCTCTTAGCAAGTCACACACACACACACCAAACAATTCCTGAAGACACTCGAAGTTCAGAATCACCTTGACTCTCTAGAACATAATCGCTGTCAAAAAATAACACATTACAGATGTCATAATACAACCATAAAGAGAAGCATTAAAATTGGAGATTGAACAGAAACAAGGACAAATAATGAGGACTGTGTCATCAGACAACACAAGAACGTCAGAACGTTGATGGACAGTCTAGGACAAAAAGGGATAATAATCACAGAGTTGGTTGGAATGTCTAAATAAGTAACAATATCGTAAATAAATCATCCAAGAGGGACTTCCCAAACAACTATTGCTATACAAAGGTGAAACCATAATTAACATCCAGTTCTTATCATCAGGTGAGATAGTTAATCAACCTGATTCAAAATTTGTCTTCTTTAGTCTGATTATATTTTGCCTATTCTACCTCCTGTTAACTCTGAATACACATTCCATAGCATACCGCCTGGTTTGAGATCAGTCGTCTACTGTACAGCTATCCGATTTGGTGGGCAAGCAGAATGGAAATTTCTCAGAAGTCAGTACAATGTTAATGAGACGGAAGATGTTGAAAAAGAAAATATCTTGACGGGATTATCTTGTTCTCGTGATATATGGACGATGAAACTGTAAGTGTATATAATATTAACAGTTAATTCGTCCGATGTTTGTTCATTGAAAACGAAGAAAGACTAGACCATCTGTCATCAATCAGAATTTCATTTCATGCCTTTCAATTTAGTCGAATAAGCAAGTTGAGATTTATTATGTTCAATTCACTGTCAAAATTGTTATCACTTAAGTCTTTTTTTGTAATGAACTGTTTATGTGAAACAAAATAGTTGATAAAATACCCGACCTTATCAAATAATCTAAACATTTATGGTGATCATGATGATGGCCACCGAGTGAGTTGTCAAGACTGTTAGGGACTTAAGGGTTTCGATAATAAAAATAACCAAAAATTTAAGGTTTAAAGTTACAGAGAATCGAATTTCAGAGGGAATAACTTGTCTTTAGGTGAAATGTTTTCTATAGAGGATGCAAAATACACAATGAACTTTGGTTAATAAGAAAGAATTATATGGAGGCAGGGAATAACCGAACTATTGCTGCTAGACGCCATAGAACCCCCTGACTTGACGGAGAAGTAACTTCTCATCGTTTTGTTTCTGTCTTCTGCCACTATTCGCCTTCTTCCTTACATTCCTGTTTCCTTAAATTGACGACGACTATGAAACTCGTCGTTTCGGTTGGCGACACAACACAAATGTGATATTCAGGTATCAGGTCTGTAGGTATTCAAAGAGACAGAATGAATCCCTCAAATTAACTGTCACATTCTGATAATGATGATGATGACGTCACTGTCTCCTCCTGGTTTTGTTCACATCCAGATACTTTGATTGGATTAAACAAGACAAACAATACTGGTCAGCGATTCCTGAATTCGCAGTATCTCCAATCGGTAACAGAATGTTGTGGGACCATGTGCATGAAGCGGTCAAATCTTTGAAAACTGGGTGAGTTGAGCTTGAGATGTATTTTGAATTTACCTTATAATTTATCCATGACATTTAATAGAACAAACGATCTGTCATTCACTTATGACATTTGCATTTTCCCTGTTGATTCGTACATTTTTATTCATATTTTTATGACATTTTGTCTGACTATTGTTGAGCGTGACTACGTGACTCAACCCTAAGATGACATCAGTGGAGTAGAAACAATATTATCAGAAAGCCACTCATATAACGTCTGGTGAGTTTGTAAGGTGGACTCTGCAACAAAATAAAGTAATCATTCCAGTTGAATAAATTTTGAATGGGCGAACCATATAGGAGAGAAATTTTTCTGATGTTATTAGTGTTGATATTCCGAATCTTCTTCTTTATAATGACCGTGGAAGATTTCCATTCTGACTGTGGGCTGATGAATTCCTGCCTTGCCTTTCCGATGTAGAATTTGATGTTCTTAAACTTGTCAACCATAGTTGAGAAGATCATTCCTTCAAATTCCTTCTGTCAATGGTGATTGTTGGTTGCTATTGTTTTAGAGTTGTTCTTTATCTTCATCACCTCCTATTCCACTATGTTTACTTGAACTCCTGTCTTTGCTGCTAGCCCTATCGTCAACTTGTTGGTTTCCGCCTGTAGATCTCCAAAACAAAGATCAGAAAAATCATGCGCGAAACCCAGATCTTCTAGAATCTTCTTATCCATGCAATATATTCCTGTCTTCTCACTCTGAAGCACAGTGAATAATCTAGTTCACAACAATTCGGAATATCATCGGGGATAGTAGTGGGCAGCCTTGTCTAACTCATGTGAGTTTTCCGTTGTGAATCAGTTGACAGGTGGCATCATCATAAAACTGTTGAATGAAACTGAAGCAGGTTCAGTGTACTCTGTAGTGCAGAAGTAGTTTCAGAATAACTTCGTGGTCAACTTTTTGAAGACTTTTTCAAGTCGGATGAAGCTGAATATGGAGATCCGACTGCCATTCTTCTATGCTCTGTTCGATGATGAGGCGTGGCGTACTATGGAACACTCAGCATCCGTTCTCCTCAACTTATAATCTACTCATTTATGCATGCAAATTGCAAAACATTAGATGGAAAATTACCAAGACTAGAGTCAGCAACATAAAATTAGTATCTGCATTACTCATTGTATGGAAAATTTATAAGTCATGAAGCACTGGTTGGCAGTAGCACTGTTGGGGTCAAGCTATAATAGACGACATATTTACCGTCTAAGTATTGCCATTTATATCTCACACTTTCGGTTTCTGCGTCGTTCAGTACATCGGTCCGAATAATTTTTCCGTGTATGTCAGTGAAGCCAGTAACCTCGATATTGCTACATAGAAAATATTTCATTTGAACTACCTGTCATCGGGTTAATAAACCTTTAAGATTTTATGAGTTTCCATACAAAAGTGTTCCTGACATCCGAGTTTTAGTTTTATATAAATGCCTCAAGATATAAGGAATACTCTGACGAGTTTATAACTGAGTGAAAACACTCCAATAAAATGTCCAGATGTACACATTTTGGACATACACATTGAAAGCACAATAAAGGGGAATATAGCCGACTCCTTTCTACATACTTTCACAACATCTTTCTAAGCAAATTGTGAAGGTATATCTGAGTAATGACTGGTGTTTAAAAAGAGGAATCCTCAGTGACAGATGACTGGAACTAATTAACTCATAATTACTAAACGTAATATATTCAACTGTAGCTGATTATACTGCGGAAATGTTTCAATAAGTGACCTCTAGTTAATTAAATGTAAAATATTTAACCTAATGATCAAAACCTATATGGAAGTTGATTAAATCGAATTAGTTCTAACAAATGATTCGTCTATTTCTTTTACAGCATGGAAAATTCAACACGTTCCCCAACTGATATGTGAGTTCTATCACCACTGATTTCCATTGCATTAAGAATTCAAACCAACTGTTAAATTTCATTCTCAGAAATTCATTTAACTTGTGTGAGATTCCTCCTTGAACAACTTTGCTGTTCTGCAAATTACTTTGGTATTCATACACTGATGACTGTACTATGTCTGGAAGTGCGCCAGTCTAGATTTTGTATAAGCTAACGGCTTTCCTCTTCTTGGCAGGAAAGGTGATTTTCGGTGTGTCATATGAATTTATGTTTATGCTAATTATCCACAAGGAGAAGTAATCACCGTCATTGTTTGTTCTATGGATGTAACGCAGTACATAAATTGAAACTTTGAAATATCATGAACATGAAAGTGTTGTTTAAATGAAATCTGCAATTGCGGTTGACAGCCTTATTTGGAATCTGTTTGTTGCTAGTAATAATCATTGGGAAACTCACGGAAACCGTCGAAGTAAAGGCAGGAGTAATACGAGGCCAGCTGGCTGCTAAAAATCTCCAATGATTTTCCTGATTTCGGTAGACTGCATAACGCGACAGACAGCGAGGCACGAGAAGACAAGCATAAAATGGACCCACACAAAATACTTGGAGGTTCTGGATTTCACTGACAATATGTGCCTGATTTCACATAAAATAGAAGGGATGCAAATGAAAAGCAACAAGTTGGGAGAAGAAGTATCGAAGATAGAACTCCAAGTGAACAAAGGGAGGACAGATGTGACGAAGATTCCTGGCCGACGGCAACAACAACAGGCAACAATCAGCACAAATGGAAAGAATCTGAAAGAATCGACCTCCTTTACCTATCTGCGAAGCACCGCTTCAACTATAGGCGGACGGAACTGATGAGGATATCAAAGCGAGGATCGGGAAAACAAGGCAAGTCTGTGTGTAGATCAACAGCACTCAGCATCAAAAATAAGATCCAGATTTCCAACTCCATTGTGAAGTCGGTGCTACTTTGTGTATCAGAGACTGGGCGCGTCACAAAGAGCACTTCAAACAAACTACAGACTTTCGTCTACAGCCATCTTTGCTGAATACTCAAGATCAAATGGCCAGAAATGATCAGCGACAGGAAGAGATTTCTGGCAATGAGCGAACCAACCAGGGACCAATTGTGCAGCAAATATGCAGGAAGAAATGGAGGTGGATTGGCCATAGTTTGAGAAAACCATCAAGTGACATCACACTCCAGACTTTCTCTTTCTTGAGTGGAACCCGAAAAGGAAGCTTTGAGTTGGTCGTCATTGTAAGGGTGACATGGAGAGGAGGAGGTGATGTGAAGAGGAGATGAAAGTATGTGGTCAGACGTGGAGCCAGCTGAAAACGTTGGCAGAGGACCGAATGCAATTGAGACGTGAGGATGAAGCCCTATTTTCCTCTCGGAACCAAAGCAGATAATAGTGTGATGAGAGCAGGCTGCTAGCCAATTGGTAGACATTAATTTACGTCAATGTCTAGGTCACCAATATTGGCTGTGAGAAAATATGAACAAGGCTGATTCAACAACCAATCACGGCAGATTTAACGTGGGCAAATAAGATTCGCAGATATATGGCTTAACTTTTCGAGAAACCAGAAACAACCAATCAGAAGACTGTGTTTGTCTGCTTGAATAAGGTATAATAATGTGCATGAAATATATACAAATACTTGCTGACTTCCGTAATAAAGCGATCTGTTGCCGGCCCTTGTCTTCTGTTGTTACAATAGTAATAATACTGGTAATAATTAATGTGTAACCTATAAGACAGTTAAATCGCTTACACTGTGTTAGCATAATTAACTTTATCGCTTTTAATTTCACCTTTACAATGTTGACTTTCACACGCTTTTCTTTTTCAGTGATGAATTCACCAAAGAAGTGATCCAGAGTCTTTCTAATCCATATTACAGCTTGAATAACAGAAATGATGGGGAAGAGGTGAGTCTGATTTCAACATGATAATTTTCACTGTTCTTCAACGCACTGGTTGTAAAATACAGTGTGCATGTGTTAGAAAATAAAATTTAGTATGAATGTGTTGATACGTATAAATATGTGTTCAGTACAGTAACTCGCATATAACATTGACTGGCGACTGCAATATATATATATATATATATATATATACCACGAATTGATAGAAGTTGGAATTCATGGGCTGGTCGTCGTATCAGGATCCAGTGGCTAAATGGGTTATGGAGTCGTTCTGTGACCTG